GTGTCTAACTTTGCCACGCTGATCCTCGTCCAGTTGGATGATCATGTTCAGGAAATTTGGAGGACAGCCGAGTCGCCCCATGATTTGCCACATTACTCTTCTGCTCACTGTGTCGAAGACTTTCGTCAGATCAATGAACGCCACATACAGCCCCTTGTTTTTCTCCTGGCATTTCTCCTGCAGCTGCCGGAAAAAAAAACACCATGTTTGTTGTGCTCTTGTTGATACTGTAGCCGCACTGACTCTCTGGAAGGTGCTATTCCGCGATGATGGGTACAAGCCTATTCAGCAGAACCCTTGCAAGAATTTTTCGTGCGATGGAGAGCAGAGTGATCCATTGGTAATTGGAGCAGTCAGATTTTTCCCCTTTGTTTTTGTACAGGGCAATGATGACTACATCGTGGAGATCTTGTGGTATTTTTCCCTGCTCCCAACAACAGCAAAACAGCATATGGAGTTTCATATGCAAAACTGGACTCCCATGCTTCCAGATTTCACGTGCGATTACATCAACTCCTGCTGCTTTGCCACACATCAGCTACTTTATGGCTTTGATAGTCTTTTCAATTGTGGGCAACTCATCCAGTTCCATTTTTACTGGTTGTTGGAGTATGAGGAGAATTGCCGGTTCCTGGACCGAGCGATTAACACTGAAGAGGACCTGAAAATGCTCCCACCAACGGTTTAGAAGAGATGCCTTGTTTGTAAGGTGCATCTGAACGTCTGCACTGTGCATAGGACTGGACCCGATACATAGGTCCGCGAATTGCCTTTAGAAGCCCCTGCTGTCTCCAGTGTCTGCATATTGCTGAATTTGTTTAGCAAGTTTGGTCCAACACTTATTCTTAAACTCTCGAAGCCTATGCTAGAGTTCGTGGCATAAGAAATGGAACACAGTTTTCTTTGCAGGACAAGCTGGCTGAGCTAAGTGATCTTGATGAGTTCATCTTTTCCTCACCAGCAGTTCTTGGATTTCCATGTTGCTCTCATCAAACCAGTCTTTGTTCTTCCTTGAAGAGAATCCAAGGACTTCTGTATATTTCTGCAGAATGCCTGTTCTGAGTTTTTGCCAAGGTGTTTCAGGAGAGTAATCTTCGAGGATGCTTGCATCCTCAAGCCTTGACTCAAGTTAGTTTTCACTTCATCTGATTTAAAACTGCCAACATTGAACTTTTTACAGAAGGTCCCTCCTTTTCTTGGCTTGAGTTTAAAGTGAAGTAAAGTGAGTTTTCAGCGAACATGGTGATGGTCGGTATGACATTCTGCGCTAGGCATCACTCTTGTTAGCATGATGTCTTTTACGTCACACTAGCGCAGTATGACATAGTCAATAAGGTGCCAATGTTTAGACCGAAGATGCATCCAGGTTGTTTTCAACCGGTTTTTCTGTTGTGAGATGGTGTTTGGGATGACGAGCTGATGCTCTCCGCAGAACTCTAGTAGCAAGCACCCGTTGTGCTTACAGTTACTAACACCACGTCTCCCAAGCAATCCCTTCCAGACCTCAAAATCTTGGTCTACTCTGGCGCTGAAATCGCCAAGGATTATAACTTTATAATCTGAAGGGTCGTCTCGTAGTAGGCTGCGCAGATCTGAGTAAAATTTATCTTTTTTCCACAGCATCTGCATGTAAACTTGGGGTGTACACATTAATTAGTCTGACATATTGAAGATTACACAGTGGAAGGCGTATGGAGATGATGCGGTCAGAATAACCTGATGGCAGGTTTTAAAGCTTGGGGTAATGAAATTCCTGATCATGAAACCTACACCCAAAACACTCCTCTTAAATTTCCTGACCAATAGAGAGTATATCTGCCGCCGTGCTTTTGTAGGCTGCCTTCCTCTTAGAAACGGACTTCACTGAGAGCAGCAATGTCAACATTTAGTCTTGACAATTCATTTGCAATTAGATCAGAGCGACGTTATGGTCGAGAACTGTCTTCCGTGATCAGCATCGTCCTGATGTTCCAGCATGCTACATGAAGTCTTTTGATACCCTTACAGGTTGGTGTTAAGCTTTTCTTTACTGACGTTCGACCGCATGAGAAGAGACCTGTTGACCGCGGTTAGCCAACTGGGAAATATAGAAGATGAAATTCATTTAGGTCACCTTTTCTAGGCCTCTCTCCACATGGAGCGAGCAGTGCTGTCCCTAGAAGAAGGCTGGTTGGTTAATCAGGGTGCTGCCGATCGATTTTGTCGACTCCAGGACAAAATCAGACGATCAATATCCTGAGCCAATTGCATGCGAGATTGGGACTGCGACTTCCACCTGCCGTTTTCGCCGCTCTCCCATCGCCACAGGGCTTGGAAATGATTGGTAGATACTTATAATATTGCTGGCACACATGATCAGGTGCTCCTGCTATTTTCCTTGATCTCCTTGATAAAATCCAAAGAAGAATCAGAAATGCTGTCAGTCTTGATCTGGAGGCTCGGCTTCAGTGCCTTCAGTGCCTTTCAGTGCCTGTAAGGTTGCCTGTGTCTTTTCTATAAGTACTTTCATGGTAATTGTTCGGATGAGATCATCGCTATGGAACTTTCGTTGTTAGATTGCTTCTATTTTCAGACCCGTTTAAGTCTCGCACGCGCCAGACGAGATTTTGTCGGTCTACCGGTTGGAACTTTGTATTTTTGTGTTTGAAGAACTGTTAATTTTACAAGTTTAATCTTTAATTTTTCTAATTTTTTTTTTATTTGTTGACTTTTTTTTTTGTAAGACGTTTGAATTTTCTTTTTCAGTTTTCACCACACCCACTGGCTGTAAGATTTTATTACACCTTTTTTTCACTAGACTATTGATTTATTTTTCGTGTAAATTATATTGAATTTTTAGTTTATCTTTTAATTTAATTTAATTTAATCCCCACCCGGTATTACTTTTCTGTATATTTATATATATATATATATTTTGTTTATTCTTTGTGGTTTAATTTTCTACGTGTTACTTCGTTCATTTTTTTCTATTTTTTTTTTTTTTTGGTGTTCTAATAAACAATTCTTTTTTTATTTATTTTTTTTTTTTTTGCCTTTAATCTCCGCCAAGCGGAAAAGCTTTTTATTTTATTTTCTGGTTTAACTTTTCGTCTCCATTTCTTTATTGTTCAAACTGTTTTTATTTTATTTTCGTGTTACGTCGGCCATTTTGTTAAATCAGTAATACTTGTTATTTTTACATGTGTCTATTTTTTAATTTTCCTTTTGTACTATTTGTTTTTCATAATTTATTTTATTTCTCTGTTCTAATTTTTTTAAAAAGAACCTTTTTACGTTATTTAATTGTTTTGTTTGAGTTAATTTATTTTTTTCATTTACACGTCCAACGTTTTTTCGTCATTCTTTTTTCTCGTGCCTACATTGTTAAATTTGTTATTTCTTTTTTCCATGTCTGTTTGTAAAAAGAGTGTTTTTTTATTTGTGTATATTTTTTAGTTAACTTAAGGTTTCACGTCAAACTAGCTTGCGTCGATCTTTTGTTTGTATTTTATCGTTTGTTTCGTTAACTTTGTTCTCCTTTCTGTGTATTTGTTTAAGATTATTATTTATATTTCCTTATTTTTTGTTTTGAAAATCATCGAGTGGTTAAAAAGCCTTGTTCGGGTCAAAAAAGAAAGACCCACCAGATAAAAACACTAAAAAGTAATTGCCGAGAAAACCCCAAAGAAAGTGATGACCGAAAAATTGATTATGGAGTCTCGGAATGTCCAAAATTCACAAATAGAAAAGACATCGGAAACTAAAATCAATGACAGCAACAGCAATAACAAAAACATCAATATAGCGACCAGGGAATTATCCTCTTGCTGGAAGTCCCTACCGTAGTGCATCATAAACATGACAGACTCCTGGAAGGGGGGGACAAGGGCTACCGCACATTTTACTGTTATTACATCTTTGAGTTCCCTGAGGGCTAAACCAAAAAGAATTATCAAAGGAAAGGAATTATTTATATAGGACATACTGTTGCCCACGTCTGCCGACTGTGAGAACGTCTCCGGCCGAGATTTAGTAACATCTAACGTCATACTTAGAACGGAATATGAGGACAGGCGTTGGACCATGTCTCAGTATTTGAGGTCCATGTCCTATTCTTAGGGGAGCACATGGCTGCTTACCTGGTTCAATTTGAACAGATACTCATTGCTACATCCGACGACCTGAACGGGACGATAGACTTTCGAGATTATGCTAGATCGTAAAGTCTTCGTCTTCGTCCCTAACTGTCTGGATGTAGAGGCCCAGAGAATGCCGATCATTGTGACCGGCCGTAAACCAATATGTTGCAAGTGTTGAGAGACTAGTCACCTCTCCTCTACCTTCCCAGAAAAGAAGGCCTTTGGAATTAGGTTTAATCTGTGTTCCGACCCAAATCCCTTTTTGGTTGAGTCTGTTATTGCCCTCTTGCCTGTAATGGACATGCCAGCAAGCGGGACTGATGCAGTAAAATCCCCAGTTGGTCCAACTTTGCAAACGTCATTTCCCGAAAAGTCTTTTCCCGGCGCTTGTCCGGTTGCGGAAAAAGAAAATTGGGAATGGCAAGTCGTTGTTAAGACCAATTAGAAGTTCCAGCCAGCTGAACCTCTGTTTCCGGAAGCACCTGCAAGTAGAGGCACACTCACCCGCACACCCTCGACCCGGTCCAAATGCGATTCTCCGGTCAGTAATGCCGAACAAATCAGAAAACAGGGATTAAATTACGAACCAAGTTTAGAAAAGGCTGAAAATTTTCAAAAACTGAAAGAAGCTTTAAAAGCAAAACGTGAACAATCTGCACGAAGAATTAGCCATTCATCGTCGGCATCATCTTCTCCAAGAGTCAAACAACACTCTATGACACCACCTCCAGTGGTAAAATGACTAAACCTCACTCCTTCCAAAATGACTACCTTTAGGAAGCCTCCCATTGCCGAATCCCCAGCAAAAAAAAAGTTGACTCCTGCTAACACGCCTACCCTATCCCCTGCCCAAACTCCCTTGAGCATACCCAAAAAATCCGATCAACGAAAAAGTCCCTCTACAGACTCAAATGAATCAGCTACAAAGAAAAAGTCTAAACCTGTATACAATACTGGGGAAAACCTGTACCGGCTAATGAAGGAACAGGAAGAAAAAGCAGCAACGCTGTCTAGAAATATAAAAAAAAATCTTAAATATTTAATTAAAATGAAAGCGGTGAACATAATGGATTTGGAAAATCCCCAAAATTTTCGAAATGCTAAGAAAATATTGACTGTGGTGAGATCCGGTGTGGGACCACAACTAATATGGGTGATGATTGAGAAGGAAAACCATGTTTTCAGAATGTTTCCCTCTTTAGCGTTCTTTGACGACGCCAATGTAAGAAGATTGAAGTAATTTTATTCAGGGAGGCTCCCGCTTATCAGTAACCCCTCCCTATACAGCCCTGATGGGAATAGGCTCAATAGAAACAGGCCGTGGTGTCTTCACCCCGGTCACGTTCAATGCGGAAGTGTAACCTAATCGGTCTGATTAGCTGGCTGACTAATGTGAATTCCAGGGGCCTGGTGTCAGAGTGTCGCAGGGCGAGGCTCACTAGCGATTTTCAGTGTCTCGGAGTAAATGTATGTTGTGTACAGGAGACCCGGTTTTCAACTCGCGATCATAAAAGCATTCTGTCTAGGGGGGTTGCCCTCTATTCAGCTTCCTGTCTGGTGAGCAAGTCGTTGAATGTGGTATGTGCTCTTTTCTTCGAAGATCCGGCGGGCAGGCTTTGCGAGCTGAATGTTACTATATAAGGATAAGGCTCTTTGTTTCATTGGGGTTTATGCGCCCAATGACCATGTTGAGCGGCCTGATTTGTTTCGGTAGATCGAGCCGGTTTTGACGACATCTCGTTGGGTAGTTTTAGCGGAGGGTTGGAATGTCGTCCTAGACCCCGACATAGATTGTATAGGGCAAGATCGGCTGCTAACAACCGGGATGTGAAACCATTTCAGGACTTTATCGACAATGATCTTGTCGATAAGTATCGTAATGAGCACCAAGAGGTAGTGTGGACTTGGAAGAATAAGGGCCGCTCGGCTACGGCGGTGCGTTCTAGAAACCTTGACCGATTCCTAATTAAGAGAGTCAATGTAGGGCTTTTAGATCGTCCACGTTTTCATTCGATAGTTTACTTGGATCAGAGGCCCCCTCCGGGTTCGTGTAAACTTAGAGAAGCCTAAGGCTAGGTAGGGGAAATTGAACGCATCATTATTTGGTGAGTGAGATTTCCAGGACCAACTTCTACTAATGATACAACGGGAATTGACGGGGACTATGGTTGGGAATATGTGGTGAGATAAATTAAAATCCAAAATTTGCTCATTTTCTGCTGATTGTAGTCGTCGGCTCAATCTAGTTAAATTAGCGTCGCTAATGGCCTGTGAGGAAAAAGTTAATCGGGCGAATAAATCCCGTGATAGTAGGAACGTAACCTTAGCTGGGCAGAGTTGGCCTCCTTGCTTATCAAGGAGAATCAACCTCTGGTAGTTAGGACTAGGTCAAAAAGAGTGTCTTCTGAGGAAACGAATATGGCTGCTGAATTTGCGTGCAGAGGAAGTAAAAAATGCATCCCATCGACATGTCACGTGCGTCACATTGCCGAATAAACGGGCCGTGACTACAGACGCAGATATATGTGAGGCTTTCCGTGACTATTTTCAGGATCTATTCACGACGGAACTTGATTTGAGCACTGTTCGACGTCTACTTAGCCGACTTTCTCCGCCTCGAGACGAATGAAGCGGCTGAGTACGAGTGTCCCATTATAGAGTTGGAAATCTGGCAAGCGCTGAAGCTGGTTGGCCGAGACAAATCACCAGGATTAGATGGTCTATCCTACGAACTTTACTTAAGTCAGTCGCTCGTCCTTGTTCATTAGCTAGCACTGACTTACGACAACGTGGTGAAAAAGGGGTCTATATCTCAATGTTTCACCAGGGGTGTGATCAAGTTTCTACGCAAGGGCATGAACGGTTGTGACAGGATAGGTAACTTTCGGCCTTTAACGATGTTAAATACAGAGTTAAGATTTCAGCCAAGATCTAAGTCAGCCGTTTTCAGGCTGTACTCTCTAGTCTGATTGGTTCCGAACAGACTTGTGCCGTGAAAGAAAGGACAACCTTCATATGGTACGCTTGATCATCGAGCAAGTCGACAGTGAAGCTGCGCTGATCAATTTAGATCAGTCCAAGGCATTCGATAGGGTTGACCATCGATTTCTGAAGGCTGTCCTTTCGGTCACCGGTTTCAGCCAGTACTTCCGCACTAGGATCCGATTTCTGTATGCGTCTCCCGATGCGCTGGTGGAAGTAAACAGGGATTCGATCGGGGCCTTTCGCGATGTCTGTTGGCTTTCAGTTGGGTGCGTGGAAGGGAGTTTCTCTTCTCGGGTCTTTCCTCTGGTTGGACGGGCCCGTCAGGATACTCGGCATCTGGTTCAGTTCCTATCTCCTCTTGGAAATGAATTGATCGAAAGTGTGGAAGAAGGCCGCAGTCGCAGTTCATCTGTGGTTCCGGAGAAATGTTTCCTTAAAGGGGAGGGCGGAAATATGCGCCTCGCACGTCTACCCGATTCTCCTTTACCGATTCACCGTACGTCCATTTCCGTCTGCTACACTAATGTCATTAATAAGGCTTTTGCTCTCTTTCTTGTGGGGAGGAAAGGCCCCTAAAGTACTTCGGGAGATTTGTTAACTTCATCCTTCTCAAGGCGTTCTGGTATGCCTAGCGTTGAGATTCGTCAATATACGCTTCGCATCGAGCTCCTAGATCGAATGTGTCAGCAATCGGATGATGAGGGCGAATCGTTTACCCTGAGGCGAGTGCTCCTTCTACTGTGAATGTCAGATTGTTCTGAAATACCTCTTACGGACGATGGGTGGCCTCTCTGACATCCAGGGGTTTTTCTGTAGGGTAGTGCTCCTCAAATTATCTGATATGGCGGACCGGCATTTCTTTTCTCAATGTGTTACGTACCTGTAATTTTTCGTGGTAATATTAATTTATACCGGAAACGATATATATAATGAATATAATAAAAGTTGACTATTTTTTTTTATATCTTCCATTTATTTTGCAAAAATAATTCAATATGAAAATATATAAAAATTAATAAAAAGAATAAGCAGTTTATTAACACGAAAACAAAAAATATATAACTTTAATCTTTACTAGTGTGAAAGGTGAGCCTGCTTCTTTGTCAGTTTGGTACGAAAGTACAAATTCTGGCATCTACCAGTTCTTCAAATGATTCCTTAGTATGGCCTGAACGCTGACCGCGTACCGGTATCAGTTGATGCACGTACCGGCACCGGTCCGCGGACCACAACTCTGAGTAGCACTGCCGTAGGGAATTATATTACGTGTTAGTTAGGGAGTTCTTTCAAGATGATCAGATAGACGAGCTCAGTCTTATAAAGCAGGAGGCCCGCTCAACATGGCTTTGGGCGCCCGGGTTGAATGTCTCAACAATAGTGAGGCATCACTCACCTGGCTGGGTCAGCCAAAGACTTTTCGGCCGGCTTGGAAACATCTCCAAATTGCATTCGCTGCGATGTGGCGGTGGAGACATTGGATCACACCTTCTTTCATTGCAGCGTTGTAGTTCCATTTAGAAGTTTATTGAAGATATCGTGGTTCGCATGCTGCGCGAAAAGTTTTTCGTCCTTGACGCCATTTTTTCTGTAGCAATGTCGTTGACGAAGGCTGACCACTGTGTGCTCTTTTGCTTGCTAGGTGTTATGAGAGTCGTGATATGGAGGACATCAGGAGTTCTATGCGGGCGAGATCTTGTTCTTTAAGCATCAGCTTAAATTCAAGATTAGGACGGAAAGGTGGCGGCTCACTCCATCAGAATCTGACAAAAGGTGGGTGAGCCTGATTGTCTGTGTCGAGTAAGAGGGACCGATTTAGAGTGGCACTTTGATGCTGGTTATGCATAAGGAAATTGTTCTACCTGGATGGAACATTGGCAACCCCGATCGAAATTATATTTGTTTAGATTTCTTTTTTTTTTCAGTTTCAGCCTTCAAAATTAACTTAGGGAATGTATGCTCATTGGCCTTTTTTATTTCTGTCATCACTTTCTTTAGTTTAATTTGCCCTCCACTCATCCTTTTAAGTGACCAGAGATGTGAGTGGATGTATTTTAAAATGATTATTCCGGAGTGAATGATTATGTCCCTGAAATTGTTTATCTTTAATGGTTTTCCCTAATACATTTTTTTTGGAATTGAAGTTAGATTTCAAAGTCAAATTTTCATAGCATGTTTCAAAAATCCGATTTTAAATGAAGGAATAATAATAGATATAAAAGTGGCAACAATTTAGTTGACTTCATCTATGAGATTTACAAAATGAGGGCACCAAAGCCAAGCAAATAGAAACAATTTAAATATCTAGGAAATGTTTTAACGGAGGACAGGAAATGTGACACCGAAATCCGAAGGCGCATTAGGATAACGAAAAATACTTTCCAAAAGTTAAGTAATAAGAAAGAAAATTTCGTTCAAAACAAAGTGCACTGAAAAGTTGTATAATATCGGTCCTCCTATATGGTAGTGAATGCTGAAGAAAAGATTTGAGTCAACACAAATGTAGTTCTACAGAAGGATGTTGGGAATACCATGGACTTAATATGTGAGCAACGATGCAGTTTTGGAGTCAATGGAAACTAGTAGGGCAATTATGCTTATCATCAGAAAGGGTCAGTTGAAATTTCTTATTATTTCATAATGAGGAAAGCGGACATAGAAAACCTGACACCCACATGGCATATTGAAGGTAAAAGGGACAGAGGAAAGCAGCGTATAACATGCCTAGCGAACTTGTTGTCAGAACAGGGATTAGGAGAACAAAAAGAGCTACATAGGGCAAGAAATTGTGGAGAGCCATGATCGCAACGTAATGGATGGACACGACACATAGAAGAAGAAGAAGAAGAAGAAGAAGAAGAAGAAGAAGAAGAAATGAAACATAAAGTAGTTAAGGGCATAATAAGTCTTGTTCGAACGTGTGTTGGCATGATCGTCTTTGTTATACACAGAAGTAGTTTTCCAAAAAGATCTGGTATACAAGACAGGCAAAAAAGGTGAAAACAAAACAAATCTATTATAGACAATATGAAACAGGTTCATTCAATTCCATGTTCCTTCTATTGCAAAGAATCGTGAAAAACAGCGAGAAACTATCACGATTTCATAAATTCTTAAATAGATGAATCTTGTTAATTTTCTTAATGAAATAAGCATTATTAACATCAGTAACATTTTAATTTGCAAAAGAAATTTATAAAATACTATCAGTATTTTTAACATCATTATTCTCATTATTTCGAACTAAAGTATCGAATATCCGCTAATGCAAAAAGCCAAAACTAACATAATGGTTCATTTTAAGCCGTTCACTGAAATATTTACTTCTCAGAAAATTCGATATTGCCATAAAGTGACTGAAGTGATAGATTAAAGTAATACAACCCAAAACATCAGTATAAAATAGAAACGTTATGTGAACATCTATCAGTCTAGCGATCTCTTTATCTTTCTTTCTCATGATATATATATATATATATATATATATATATATATATATATATATATATATATATATATGATAACGATATAGGGGGTTGGTGCATAATTATCAGACGTTTTTAAACACTATTTATTATGAAAAAAGAAACATAGCAATTTAACAATAACATTTTAAAATGATTATTCCGGTGCGGATGATTATCGACACGCATTTTTAAAACCTGAATTAAAATAAATATTTTTATTAAAAACTAATTTTTTTATTAACACATAACTCGCCTAAAAAACGCCTGATAATTATGCACCAACCCAATATAAATTTTTATATATCAAGAACCGTTTTGGAGGAAAGATATATGACAAAGTGAAGAAAATTCCGTGTGACGCGTTTCACTATAAAACAAAACAACAAACCAAAACTCGAAGGAGGAATTTACTCTATCACTTTGCAAGGATTGCCAGAAAGAATATATTGGAGAAACGACAAGAAGTTTAAATAAAAGATTACATGAACTCAAAAGAGACATTTTAAAAAACAAATGCATTAGTTGCTCACCATAACATGACTGACCACAATTTTGACATAAAAATGCTACTTTAATTAAATAAAGAAAATAATTCACTAAAGCGAAAATATTTAGAAAGTGCTTTAATCGCTAGTTCAGCGACAGTAAATTTGCGTCTAGGTTCTTACAACGTTTCCCTGTTCTTGGCAGATCTTCTGTTATCGCAATGTGGAATATTTAATAACAAACTGATGGAAACAAAAAGAAAAAGTATTTAAATCAAATTGGCTAGATTATATACGTTAAACACATGAAAAGTAATAACATTTATTTTAATTTTAAATTCGCAGCGTCTCTCGTTCATGCAGATGTGTAGTCGCATTAATGTAAACAAAACTGGTCCAATGAAGTCCTAAGGGATGAAATGCGTCACACTAAAACGTTTTCCACTTTGTCATATATATATATATATATATATATATATATATATATATATATATATATATATATATATGCTCCTGAAATTTTTTCGCAGTGACTATTACGGCTAATAATGCAAGACTCTTCGGTAAATCGAATCGAGTTCTCTCAGTCACTGTGTGTTTAACTAAAAATAAATACGCTTAAATTCACCTTTATCCCTGCCGTGCGCCAAGGGCTTAGTGGCAGAATCCCCGACAGATGCCAGTTCGTCTAGCCACACTGATGAGCTGTGATACGGCGAAACAGTCTGTCTGTAGATGACAATATATATATATATATGTGTGTGCGTGTGTGTGTGTGTGTGTGTGTGTGTGTGTGTGTGTGTGTGTGGATTTCTAAAAAGTGGTCCTTTTGAAATTATTTTACCACAAAATTCTTCTCATTTGAGATAAACAGACGATACTGTGATGATATAGCCAGATGACAAAATTATATCCGACCCTGTAAACCCACAACTTATTTTATTAAAACGCAAAAGCCTAGTTAGAATGGAAGAGACTGAGATAAGGTATTGAAGAAAGAGGACAATAAAAAGAACAGGGTTCCCGATGATCGGCGTGACTTTAAATTATTGAAGATCATAGTTAAAAGAAAAGCAAGAATCTGGAAGAGAATTTCATAGACAACAAGTGCAAGAAAAGAAACAATTAGAGTAGAACTTACAGTTACACTACAATTTAGCACTACGCTTAAATTCGAGAAATCGGGGTACCAAAGAGGAAATATCATCAGAACAATTGCCATAAAAATATTTAGAGAAAAGACACAAGGAAGGTACGTGAAGGTGGTGGGAAAGTGATTGAAGCCGATATGCCAGGTCAAGTCTGATAACATTGCAGATTTCTTTTTGTCAAGAATATCTAGATACATAGCAGAGGCACCAGACTATATATATGTGTGTTTTTATTAGTGGATATTCATATTTGAGTAGACGCTCCATTTATTTATTAAACGGTATATTTATTAATTTTTATCTACCAGCCTGAATACGTGTATCCGCTAAAAATAACGTTTAAAATGATAAAAATCTATCGGGCTAATAAATAAAAATCCATTACCTTAATTAATATGTGTGTGTGTCTCTGTGTGTGTATCTGTCTGTCTGTGTGTGTCTGTCTCTGTGTGTGTCCGTCTGTGTGTGTGTGTGTGTCTGTGTGTGTGTCTGTGTGTGTGTCTGTGTGTGTTCGTTGTTTTTCATTCTTTTTTCAACATTCTACCAATTTACTTTTTATGTTATCATCTCCTTTCCCCTTCCTCTTTTTTCTTTCTTCTATTTTCTCTACTTCCTCTATCTTTCATAACCTCATCCTAAGGTATGTAATCATGGATAGGAACAAACCTACAGACTACAGGACCTGCCTATTTGCAGAAGACAAACGCAGCCGAATCCCAGTAACACTTACACGATCGTATAAGCATGGCACACATGGGTATTTAATTTGATTTTCGACTTCAGAGCCGTTCAAAATGGGCATAGCAATGCGGGAGTGGTCTCCCTTTCTCCTACACGATGCTGACATACCTCTAAGATGTTTATGATTCAGCGAGGTCATTCAATTGTTGTTAACATTTGCCCTTACGACAAGCACTGTTCCGGTGAAATACGCAAAACACAAATGCAAAAGAGTTTCATTAACTTCCCGCATTCTTTTAATAAGAAAGCGAAGTCTGACAATGGCGGCCACAGTGTGAAAACATTATTTTTCTCAGTTTGAACCAGATAACGAAAACGTTAATTAACAAGTAAAAAATAAAATTAATGTACAAGAGTCCATGCGCGAAAGATAGCCAATGGTGAGACTCAGTGGTTGTATTCGATCTCTTTACCAATAATTCACATTAGAAAAGGTTAATCGTCTAAATCGTGTTGAAGGCACATCCGAAAACTGGTGACCTATTTTGTTGATATGCTAATTCTGTTCAACTTCCGACTGCGTAACTCCAAACTCAGTTACGATATCTATTTCTCCCTAATGCCCCTGAATGTCGATGACGTTTCACGTTTTCCTGAGACTTAATCCCTTTATTAAACATTTAAAGTATTAAAAGCAGGGTCACAATTAGGTCGGATATTATGCAAACACGTTCACCATTAAACAGCGTTATCTTTTTTCTTTTCTTTTTTTCGTTTTGTTTTTTTGGGGTTTTTTTTTTTCGTTATTCAACCTGTTAATCAGGGAGGTTGCGTTCTAACCCCGAACCCTCCAACGGGGTGAGGCAAGTCTGATTGGGTACCCTAGGCAGTGCTTTGGGATTTTTCTATCTACATTTATATATATTTCAAATTAAATTAAGCGCAACTGACTATTAAAGAATGAAAAATTTTCGCGGATTTTGTCATCATTCTGGGGTCTTTTTTGAAATCCAAATCCGTGAATTTGCTTTGCTCATGTTAAGTCTCGAAAAACTCTGTATAAAATAATGTTGAAAATATCGAAATTCTTGAACTTTTAACAAAAAAACTCTCAAGTTGATGTTAAAAATTGTCGAAAAAACAATGTTGATTTATTTAAGATTATCGGCATTTAAGCTAGCTCTTGCGGAGGGCTCTTGATATTATCTTCATCAAAATAGCCAGGGATGAGTAGATGTGATAGGCAGCAATAAACTAAAAAATAACTCAAAATTGATCGCTACATTTAAGTATTGCATTAATATTTAAACTTAAATTTTCAACGATAATTCATCTGCTTACACTTAATTTAAAGACAATTTGATGTACGTAGGTCCTTACTTTTCATACAAACAATTATTTTTATTTCATGGGTGACTTCCGCTGCATTTCGCAATTAATTTCGATTATTCCCACATTTATTTCCGAGTTATAAAAATTGTTATCGTACAAAAGAATTCGTCTCAAAAAATCACGTTAAAAAAATCACCGAAAAGAATCAAAGTAATGAAAATTTGGGAATCCAAAATTTCAGGATTACGTATCCGGATCCGACCCAGAAAGTTTTAATTTGCCCAAGTATTCGGCGTGATTTCAAAATGGTATGCTATGTTGGGCTACGACTTCTAAGAGTAAAGTTGAAAAAGTGTGACACACTGACATTCGCAATTATTATATACATGCAATGATCTATTATGACGTGTCTAATTTGTATTTAGTTACATTGTATTTATATTCAATTTTTCTAGCTAAATTGTTCTCCGATATTGCATATGATCCATTATTGTTCATAATTAAGTTACTGATATGTCCCGGAAAGGGATATATTTGAACCAAGTAGCTAATTGGGTTTGGCTACTGTAACCAAGTAGTACACGGTAGCAGTAATCGACTGGTACTCGTCGTAGTCGCAGGTAATAAGTGTAGACCAATAGAATAGCCAATGGCGTAGTCCAATGGGCGACGTCATAGACTTAGACTTTGTCGTACCTACACGTCCGTCTGTATTTATGACGGACATCAACCAATCATATTCCATATTTATGAATACTTATGAAAATTGACACGTATTAGAGTGTGGGGACCCGTATCATAGATTTGAGCGGCTATATCATAGATTCAAGGTGGAGCACGAGACTCCTTGCCATTGTATTGCTGTTAATCAATAAATTATTTAAATTATGTAACGTCACCTTTGTGAAATTCACGCGCAATCTTGATTTTATCCTTCGAAAACTGTTGAATTCTATTCCTGATTTTCTGTCTCCATAGAATCACCATAGTCCTACTTTCAACCTACACAAGTTAGGATACAAAAATTTACTATGATTGTTTTTTAAGTGATAAGAAAATAATACAGGGTACGATGAAAATAAAGCGCTTTTATATTTATTATCTTTTATTAAAAAAATTAAATTTCAGTAGTAATTGTCATCAAAACAACATACATTTGTTATGAATAACAAACTATTTAACATGTTCAAAATTCTCCCTTCATGTTCAGCACAACGCTGAACCCTGTAAACAACACTTCTACAAACGATTTGACACATTTCTACATTAATTTCAGAAAATGTATCAGAAATTGCTTGTTTTAATTCGGGAAATGTTTTCGGTCTATGTTCGTAAACATGTTCTTTAAGTACAACCCCAAGAAAAAGTCTGGTGGCGTTAGGTCAGGCGATCTTGATGGCCACTCAATTGCTCCACATCGTCCTATCCACCTCAGCTCGAAATTAAGATTTAACCATTCCCGAACGCGTAAACCATAGTTAATCTTAATCCAACTTAAACTACTTTAATTTATTTTAAAAGTTAAATAAGAAGTGTTTTACTTTTTCCCTGCTCGGTATATATAATATTTTTGAAAATAATTTCAAATTTTTTAACAACTTCAGCGGAAAATATTTTAACTATAAATAAGAATGGTCATTTTTAGATCTTTTTCTTTCTTTCTTACCTGTTAGAACTTTTTTAATATATGTATTTTTTTTAATATTTTATAAAATACGAAGTTTAAAGTAGTAGTTATTTTTACTTAGCTTAATTTTGTCATGAGGGTAAAAGTATTGGACACCCAGTAAGAACTGAATTCAATACTAGGAAATAATAAGTTGTGAGTCAAGCTTTCTGCAATCAGAGGGCAATGAGCTGTTCCTGCAATGTAATAAATGTAAACATATTGGCTCTGCAAAATTTTCGACACACATTTCACAACGACAAGTTGCCCAAATATTCTGAGCTTAAATCTGTTCATTACTAAAAAATGTAGATATTTTTCTCATAATTAGATTTATATTTCCAAGTCTGTCAGTAGACACTAAAGGTTGAGCACTTAGTATAGACTGAAATTAATAACCATCGTCATCCAATGTGCGTTAGTATTGACTAAGCTCGACTTAGTCTAAAAAAAAGACCAAAATAAGGATCAATTTCATTCAAAGAGTGTAAAATAGATCAGTTTCAACCATAGAAAATATAGTCTGATAAACGAGCTGTCATGTAATGAATAGCGGCTCAGACTGAAAAATCGGGGATCTGGGTTCGAATCCTAATCGATTTCGTTACATTCACTTACGCGCAAATACCCTTGGAAAAGGTATGAATCCGTTTGTTTACCTCACCACTACCATCGGTTATGGGTTAAATAGCAGGAAAGACTGGTACATATAACCTTGTTTGGCAACCAGTCTAGTAGAAGGAAAGTTGGCTACCTGTACCGCACCAGGAAATTTTTCTCGCCTGAGTCGATCCTTCAAATCTACAAATCAATCATTCACCCTTGCATGGAGTATTGCTGCTATATACAGTCTGGAGCCCCTTCTGTTTGTCTCAAGGTCCTTGATAAAATCCAGAGACGGATATGCAATGTAATTGGCCCTGTTCTGGCATCTCGTCTGCCATCGCTTTCTCACAGACGTGCCGTCACCTCCATCTGACTTTTTTACTAATACTTTCACGGTAACTGCTCCGATGAGCTGCTTTCGCTGGTTCCCAGACTTCATGAATTTAAGCGTTCAACTAGGCTGACATCTCGCTCTCACTCGCCTGTGTAACTTCCTCCCCTTTTCCTGTTTTCCTGATAGCTATAATCTCCAACTATTCAAATGTAATGTCAATCGACGTCTCCAGATGCTTTGATCTATCCCCTATCCTTCTCTTCATCCTTTCATCTATCACTTCTATGTGCTCTAGCTCCAACTCTCTGTAACCCCTTGCGTGCTAGTGGTTTCCCACCTTGCTTGGGGTGAAAAGCTTAAAAAAAACAAGGCTGGAGATAGTTGGCCTGCTTTCAGGCTATCTTACCCAAGATACACCACTGCTGATACATATGGTTCCCCAGCAACCCTCAGTGGTTTAACAGAATCGTGATCGTAATCGTGACTATATACACCGATGCAAAATAAAATTTCCGCTCCATGAAGGATGATAGCAATTTCTACCTGAATACAATATGTATTGATTAGTTAATATGTTGATACAAATTTGTAAAATCTTAGGTTAACTTGTTATGTATTAACTATCACTATTATACACTATGTTTGATCTGTAGATGGTGGCACATACTACGATAAAAATCCCTGTGATTAAAGTGTCCAAGCAAGCTCAGTGGACGGACTATTTTTTTTTCAATTAGAGCCGTTTCAGATGAGATAGGTAATAGGCCTTTCAAGAGCTGGATGGTCACTTCGGAGAATTTCTCCACAATGATCCGAATCCCGAGGACATATTGGTTCTTTTCTGGGGTATGAAACTTTGAACGGTCTTCTACTACTGCTGTTAAAATATATCGAAATTTTGTTTTTACTAGGTATTTACTCTGTCTCCCCACTAAGACGAGTTGTGAAACAAGGTCTTTTTTAAGTTAGGGACCCGAGTGCGTACACCCGGACCAGGAATGCAAATTGACCGCAGCCCCCGCAACCGTCGGTTGCGCTGGCCTCGGTGCGAGTATCGATTCCTCTCTCTGTTGCAATGAGAGGGCGCGGACTCGGGCAGCTGTTTCCCAGGGCTGGGCACCTCAGTATAATTTTTCTCAGTTGCGACTCTGTCCTTTCACGGAATCGCCCCTGAGTACACTCTTCCCAAAGACAGACACACAACTGAAAGATGATAAATAGATGCGTTACAAACCACTCGAGAGTAGCTTAGATTTTGTCTGTACTACTTGGTCATCCAGAACCTGGTCTACGAGTGTAGGAACGTTCATTTGACAATCGATGTCAATCTCAAACAACACTGATGTGTTACGTTCAACATGTGTGTTTGATCTTTACGTAGTGACAACATCCAGTGCCTGTATCATGGTACTTTGTTTCAAGAAATCGCCGTTTGAGACCAATCGGAACATGTGCATTTCAAAGGCTAAATCGTCCTTAGGAAAAACTACTCGACATGTTGAATAATAATGATAATAATATAACATATAATTCCCATGTTCTTCTACGTACTCTACAAGGTGATCAACAAGTTCCCTGAACGGTACGATAGCCAGATGTCTCTCCCATTGAACATTAATAATACATTATGGAACGAGGTCAAACTACGCGTTCAGTTATCCCGCCAAAACTCTTGCTATACGTTGTTGACAGATCCAAGAACTATGGAACTATATATCTCAGGATGATATTCGCCATCTCTACGATTGTATGTATGGGAAAGTACACTCCTGTATTAATGCTCAGTGAAGATATACAATACGTTAATATGCGACTATCAGCACATGATTATGGGTTAGAATGTTCGTTTTCCGACCATGGGTCCAGAGTTCAAATCTCACCATGATCGATTTGTCAGGAGGGTGACTTCTTGACATTATCGGTCTGGGGAGGCAATCACCGCATGCAGCACCTTTGGAAAGTGCTTAAAAACTATACCACGGCTTGACAAAATCCTTGCGAATCCAATTGCTTAGACGAAACTGTTCGTAAACTATCGGTGGTTCTTCATGGAGTCATAAGTCACCATGACCGTTGGTTTTATCATACTAGCATTATTCGATCTGCTGATCGTGCCAGATTATGTTTTCTCCCTGACACTGTGACTAAAGTCGGCTTAGCTTACCTGCAGTATAAACCACAGGTAGTCTTTAGTAATGTCCCTCAGCAGATATCTGTAAGAGGGACTGGCTAATCGCCCTAGCAGATGGATGTGTTCGGATAAACGAGACTAACTGACAATTATCAGCACTGATAGACCTCTTATTATGGAACCTTTAGACTTGAGGATTTGCATATACGATCAATTACTGTAATCTAGGCACAGTAATTGTGTGTTTAATTTTGACTAAATGGAAACTCATTGCAATTTCATTTTCCATCAGTATCTAGTAAACTTTTTTGTAGGGTATATTTCAGTGTAGCCATGTTACTACCAAATGTGTCACAAGGTCTTGGTTTAATATGCGTTTACCGGCAGTACTCAAGCCCCCTCAGTATTTCTCCTATTAGTGACGCTACAAGCCCTGTAACTGTAAAGACACTAAAAAAAACAATAAAAAGAACTCGTAAATTTTTACTTGTTCGTCAAAGACAATGAAATATGTGTATTTACACACACACACACACACACACACACACACAGATAGATAGATAGATAGATAGATAGATAGATAGATAGATAGATAGATATTGGTATGATTAAAAAAATACGTTTAAGCACATATACTTGCACGTACCTATATATATTTCTCAGGTTTTTATCAAAGTAGCGCTAGTATATTGTACCTGAAGATTATGTGTTTGCTTGAAACTCCGAGTTCTGCTATCGACGTGGGATATTATGTACATTCACTAATATATATATATATATATATATATATATATATATATAAGAGAGAGAGAGAGAGAACAGGGGAGAGAGCGAAATAGAGAGAGAAGGCAGGGGAGAGAGCGAAATAAAGAGAGAAAGAGGTTGAGAAAGACACGGGGAAGTGGAAAATACATTAAATAGAATGTGGTTTACCATGCTAATATACCAAGTCTTTGCAAATGAGTTTTCTTTACTTCCATTCCTCAAACATGTCCTCGTTCCAAAACCTTCAATAGAACAAATGTACATGAATTTACACTCAGTCCCAAAAAGGCAAAATATAACAAATATCAAATTTTAGTAAAAGATAAAACTTATCTATGCATCAATTCAAAATGGCCCCTCAATGCCGTCAAAATATTCTCATCGAGTGAGTAGCAGGTATGACACGAAAATGAGAAGACGATTAAATGTCTGTACTTAAAAATATGTTACAACTTTTACAGCCAAAGAAAAATTTGCTACCATAGATGCATGCATTTTTCAAACACCAATTTTCTTTGAAACATCCGAAAGACTCAAGGGTTTAAGTATCCAATCTTTTCACCTCCAGCAAATGTGTAAACTCCTAATTGGTAGCATATACGTCGAAGTACAGCATAGATTGTCTAAAACATTACATTTCAACCGGAGCTTGACAAAAATCTATTTTCCTAAAAATACATTGTTTATTCTTTTATATGGACTTTTATTTAATTTGCCAAACGGCTATAGCAAGCGGAGAAATATCCTCCCAAAAACTGGTTGTGAATTTCCATCAGTAGAGGGTCTAATCTTTATTTAAACAAGACTCCTTAAATTCAGGCCTTCCGTTTAACATAAAACAGTATGATTTCAACAGAAAATCATTTTTGAATTAACATCATTTCATTACATGAAATAGGTTGTGGAAGAAAACGAATTTTGTATTCTTTCAACATCTTTAAAAAAATGATTAAATTTTTTTAAATATTTAAAAAATGTTTTATTTTTCTTTAAAAATGAAATATTGTTACCATAAAATTAAGGGAAAAAAATAAATTAAGACTTTTGAAACATTGCAAAATTTCCCTTTATTTAGCATTTCGTCATTTTACAACTTTTTACAAATATTTGGCCTAGTGATATTTTAATCAACGAGTAAACTCACGTTAATTATCTAAGGAATAATCTTTAAAAAAAATATATTAACTGCAAAATTTGAGTCATTTTTTTTCTTTTTTCTCGCTGAATATGTTTCCATACTAATTTAAATATTGTTAGAAATTGCTGTTAAGCAATTTTCATTATTTTCTGAACCTTTATCAATACTCGTAAAATATGACCATGGCTATGCAAAATGTAGAAAATGCTGGACATTACATCAAAAACCATTTCTTCTAAATAATAACCCTAAAAAGAGAAAAAAAAGATTGAACGAAAATGTTGGAATCTTACAAGAATAACTGGAAATTGAGAGACAGCAAATCTCTATTCATGTGTTTGAGTCGGAGTTCCATGTGCAATTTAAACATACACGGAACTTGTTCAAGAACCACGAAAGATGTAGAACAGTTTTCGAGGTTCCTAGACAAGGTCCGGGCATTTTACCTTTTATTAGCCTTTCTTCCGCTTTTACATTGTGTTCTTCTGTCTCAGTCACGTTTACGATCAGGCAAATGTTCATTTCTTTGTTTGCGACAATGAAATCCGGTCTTCCGGCTTGAATGGAATTGTCGGTTTGGATCTCAATGTTGTTCCAAATTTCCTTTATTGATTTTTTCAAGTTTCAACTTTCTTTTTTCAACTTTATTTCTTTTTCTTTTTTGTCAAATACTTTTTTTAGTTTAAACAGCTTCTAGACTGGAAAATTTACTACAGAATTTACTTCAAAGTTCGATGGCAAGAAAAGAAAAAGTTCACTGCATCATTTCAATTAAATTGTCATTTATAAAATACAGTGAAGAATCTAAATGCTTATATCTTTTAAAGCTTTGTCTCAACCATATTTTAATAAGAATAAATAATTGAAATATAGCACGGAAGAACCGTGTATTTTGAATTTAATCAAAGTTACAATTACTCAAATTTTCTTTGGTAGTCTATGCGCAATTGAAACTGGTTCATGCAATAACAGTAAACTTGACTCATTACACAATAGTAAACTTATGTTCACTCTTTAACTCATGCTATTTTTATAAGTATTTCTTTTCATATTCTCATAGACTCTCTAATTTGAAACACTGCTTAACTTACCTTTTATGGGATTCTCATCTCTTCCTCTAAGTATTTGCTACATATGATAAATTCTTTAATTCTTTCAAAGTATTTAACTGGGTGCTTGATTAAGTTTTTCATTTGGTTAAGGTTTATTTTGGTTTGTTTTGTTTTACGGCATATCAACCTCAATGGGTCATTTAATGCCAACAACTTTTTTTTTCCTGGTAATATTTTTGTTTTGTCAAAAATCCATTTCTATTAATATTTTTTCCTCAAAAACGTACAGCTGGCAATATTATTTTTCCAAAAAGTATAGCTGATAATATTATTTTTTTCAAAAAACTATAGCTGATAATATTATTTTTTTTCAAAAACGTATAGCTGGTAATATTATTTTTCAAAAACGTATTATCAGAAGCCTTCTGTTGGACCTAGTTTATAGTCTTACCCAGAATGCGGATCTAGTTTATCGTCATACCCAGGACGTCATTTGGTTAATTAAAATATTAAGTTAATTATTGTTGATATATAATGAATATTATAAAGGCAGGAGGATTATAAAGCATTAAGTTAATTATTGTTGATATGCAAAGTATTAAGTGTTATAAAGGCATTGGAAATTATTATTGATATATGGGGAGAGAAAAGCCATGGTCAAATGCAAAAATAAATAACAGAACTGATCAATAAACAGAACTGACAAAGTTTGCAATGAGCAATAACAAGAGAAAGAAAGGGAAAGAATAGGGCAAAAAGAATATAAAGCAAGCAAACAATATATGCAGTGCAAATCAACGGTAATACGGCAAAAAGTTCGCAAAATAAGAATTGAGACTGACACACAAAATCAGGTTCGGACATGCGAACATAGGGTTCTGACTTCAAGATAAGTCAAGACAAATCGGGACTGAGTCATATGAAACTGCAAACTGGCCTATTTTATTGGCTAATAAAAATCCCATGAACAAGCATATGAAACTTAAAGTAGTGGCCAGTTACTGCCTACCTGATTACTGAATAAATATTCAAGTGCTCTGTCATTTTTATGGCATGGAGCACTTTTGTGCCAGAAGGCGAATTTTGGGCAGACTCTGTTTAGAGCTGCTTATTCAAACCTTGGAATATATATATATATATATATATATATATATATATATATATTATGAAATGGACAAAGTCCGACAATTATTTTATGACCTATACATTCCTTTTCATAGATACAAATATTTAAGTAATTGCTCTGTTTTATAATAAACAGTATTTATTTAAAGGCCTGAATCTCCGAGAAACTTTCATAGAAAATATTCGCCCTCAGACAGGAATCGAACTTGTATCCTATACGAAACCGTCATTTAGTTTGACGTGCTCTTAACCAGAGGATCGTTCGATTAGCAAGGTCGAATTTACTGCCTTGAAACTTCAATCTTCCATGAATCTCTCACATACATTCATATCTGCTCAAAGCGTATCCAAATGTAAACAAATAACGTCATTTGTTTACATTTGGATGCGCTTAAGCGAATGAATCATATCTTTTTAAAAATAATTATAATTTAAGCTCGACTTCTGTATGGAACACTGTTTTTAGAAATAAAAATAAAAATACTAAAGAACTCCGGATTATTTACCTAACGTGTTCTTTCCTATTTTTCTACATATCTGGACACACACACACACACACACACACACACACACACACACACACACACACACACACACACACACATATATATATATATATATATATATATATATATATATATATATATATATAATCTGCATTAGAACTAAAAACGTTTGCCGTTTCTCTCTACTCTTTAAAATGTACACTTTTTCTCTCGTTGGAACAACTATAACCTCACCCTAATATATATATATATATATATATATATATATATATATATATATATATATATATATATATATATATATGCTTCGTCTGAGCTACAAGTGCATCTGGGAAGCTTCACCACTGCCTATGGAATGAGAGTTATCAAACTGGACACCAGAATACGAGTTTATAGAGAGGCTATTTTGACTACACTGAGTGACTCAGAATCGTAGACCCCATATAAGTTCCCATATCAATCAGCTGAATGTCTTCCACAAAAGTTTCCACGCGATTTGTGGCTATACATCTGATAATACAATACCCAATGCCGATCTCACAAAATGCAGCTTTGGTGGAATTGAGTGCTTCCTGATGCAGTGACAACATCACTGGGTCGGTCATGTTGCAAGGATGAGGGACGACATAATACCTAAGATCTTCATGTATAACTAGCTTGACAGTGGACAAAGGACTGTTGGAAGTCCGCGGTTTACGTATAAAAACAAGCTAAAGTTTAACCTTTCAGCTGCCAGTGTGTCTCATACTAACTTTGAGCGAGTTACCATGGATAGAAATAAGTGGAGATATTTGTTCCATGAAGAGTTAACATTATTTGCAATATTTACACTCGTACTACTGTCTTCATCGTTTCGGCGTTGAGTAATTAGGCCTTCATCAGGTGCCGTGTAACATTTAAGGAATTTCGAATTGAACCCTTTATGTTATCGAAGGGCGTAGATTTTTCTTGTTCCGTAAGGTAGGTAGGTAGATGAGGAGGAAATAGAGTAATCTACTCCCGTTGATTAAATAAAGGCTTCAGTTCGAAATTCTATTTTTAGCACCACAAATTGTCAAATTTATTTCGAGAAAAATTCTTTTTGTTAGATACTTTTTTTTTAATTGCGGGGGAGGGTTGAGTGGTCATGGGTAGCAGACAGAGAACTGTCTACCTTCATAGATTAAATAAAGTGTTCAGTTCGAAATTCCTTCAAAGTTATATTTTGAAAATCGTCCGCACCAGCAAACTCCTGGTGAAGGCTGGGGAACACCACGGCCAAGATATTGTAATGACAACAATAAGGATGAAGAAAAATGTCCGCATGTAAATGTCATTATGTATCATATTTTTTCTTGCCATGATTTACTTTAAAAACAGATTCTTTTTCTCAGATCAATTTTTCTTCTTTTTTTTTTCATTTCAGCTCACCATTTTCATTTTTTCAATTCAATATTTTGAAATTTAGACTCAACAAAGAAATAGTTTTTATTGCCATGATTTATGAAATTTATTTTAAAAGCAGATTCGTATTTCTCAGTTCAATTTTTTTCTTCTTTCTTTATCATTTCAACTCACCATTTTCAAATTTTGACTTAACAAAGAATATATTTTTATGCAGTGACATATCTAATTTCGACATAAGACTTTTGGCTTTCAAATTAGTTATGACGACAATTTACTACATATTCTTACTATCTTAAACTCGGCCTCAACATGTTTACGCGAAAAAGCCTGATTAATAAAAGAAAAAGACTATAAACAAAACAGACTCAATTATGAATGCTATTTCCAAGGCAGTCTACTGAGTATTGTCCACCACAAACCATATACATACCGATTTGATGTGATAACATAATCTCTGACAATTTTCTGGGCCCTAGCTAATCTAAAAATAAAAACAGAAAGCGCACAAGAAAGATTATCTGAGCTACTTTTCTCTTGTTCTACATTTTTCCCCCAGATATATTTCATTTGTACATAATTGGTTTGAAAAACCTTTTATATTCTCATGTGTAAGTCAATGTTTGACACCGTAGAGTTTGACACAAGTTCAAATCTCCCATAAAGTTTATTTTAGACATTTTCCGTCATTAACCATTCGAAACTTTACATTTTAGTTGTTTTTCACAGTATTTTGACAATGATAAAGTCGATACTTATGAAAACAGGCTGAAACTATTCTTCCTTAGCATTTTTCGCCAAAGATAAAGAACCCTTAATAATGATAAATGTGAGAATAGCCGTTTCTATTCATTAAACAACTGCTAATCACTCAGCGGACAGAAATTTATAAAAGCTTTCTCTGAAAATATTTTTTCAAGAAGATACGTTCCTTGAACTGTTATCGCTCTTTCTGATATTCATTGGCGTTTCCGTCCTAACCTTTTATTGTAGGCCGTGTTCAAAGTCAGCATCTAGATTATATCAATGGGCTGAAATTCCTCAAGTCACTTAGTTTGTCTTTTTTAGCAAAGTTCTTTATGATTAAATAAGATCAGTTTACGATATCTGACGAAGGACGTTTCTTCTTTCAAATTCATAGGGTTTATTAGCGTGAAGCCATTTTAATCATAATCAGTGGGAAATAATCTTTGATTGTTTAGATATTTCTGAACGAGTTGAGCTCTTCATGGCATCCACGTGAAAGTCTAAATCTGATTAATCTATTTAAGAACGTGACTGGTGTTCTTACGTTGATGTTTTTTTGTTTTCTGTTTTTTTTAGCAGCTTGAAGTGTTAGACAAAACTACTCTTCTTCAATGTTCATTATCTCTTATATTGCATTTAATACAATGGATATATACACCTAAATATTTGAAGTGTTTAGCATGTATTAATTCCTTTCTCCGGAAAGGAGTAAGTAGCAGTATTGCTATATAATTTGTCATATGACATCTAAAAAAGAACAGGAATTATGCATGCATAAGGCAAATTTACTATCAGATTGCACTGTATGCATATTAAAGAATTCTTTCAAACCCACCATATTAAAAACGACTACTGGTAGAGTTCCCTATTTATATATAATACAGACAATTGTATATTCTTACTAGAAATGCCCGGCAACATTCTTTCTACTTCAATTTTCTGATGAATCTTAATATTTCCGTTAATGATTGAATAAGCTCATGGCAAGTACTATATCCGTAGAAATTCCCCTATCGAATCGTTAAATATTTGAGCTTAATAAAATACTGCAATAACAATCATGAATATGAATGCGAATGCTGTTTCGTCATTTTAAGAAGTAAGGGGGTATAAATGAAAAAAAATTGAAATTTACAACTTTTTCAATTTCAATGAAACAAACGATAAACACTTCTAGTTTCCCTTTTTTTTCCTGCCTTTCTATCTTTCATTCATTTCCTTTTTTTTTACTGAAACTAATTAGCGTCGCTGATATGCTTTTCCGTCCTTCCACATGATCAAAACGGAATAGTCCTTTATTTGTGAGGCATTGGCAGAAGACGTTAAACACTTCTATCTTGCCTCCATAAATCCAAGTTTGTTAATATCCCCACTCTCACCTCAACGTTTTCTCAGTTTCTTTCACTCTCACTAAACCATTGAGTCTAAGTGGCTTTATCGCCTTGCTTGGGGTGAAATGATGAGAAAAAAGTGTTCAAATACGAACAACTGATGTGACTCCATGGACTGACGGAGACAGAAATCATTGTCATAAGTTTATTATGCGATAGGGAAAGCGACTTTATTTTGCATTTTTGTACAGTTATTTACCAAATTAGTTTTCCACAGAACCATAAATTTTCATTGAAACCTTGTATCGACTACAAAGAATCTCCAAGAATACCTTTATGACATTGGAATCGAACTCTTCAATACCTTGCTGAATGTTCTTACTGTCCGAGGTCGTGAGAAAATTACTTCTGGTGTTTAATTGATTGATTGGTTTGTTTATTACGGTTTATCAACCGTTTACAGATTATTTAAAACCAGAAAATTTTTTAGATTGTAAGAATTTTTTGAGACAATAATGATTTACTGATAAATCTCCAAATAATTCATTTATGACTGGTGAGGAGGGTCATACCTTTCCCAAGGTTCTTTGCGCGTAAGTGAATATAATGAACCTTACTGGAATTGGAACTCGGATCTCCGGTTTCCAATTCTGAGCCATTATCCATTACACAACCCCCACATCCAAGCTTTCAGCACCTGGTATTCCCAAGCGATCAACAATCGAGGTACTGGCCAGGATCGTCATTGCTTAACTTCGGTGATCCTATAAGAACCCGTGTTTCAACGTAATATGACCGGATGTCTTCCGGTGTTTGAAAGAATCACTGCACAAATTTCTATAGCAATAAAAATTTATTTCAAGATGAAATAACTGAACAACGGTTGACATGTTTTAAAATTAACCAACCCAACCCACCCTTAACAAACCAAGTGAGAGAACCCAGACTGTCCTTATATTTTACCCATAGATGGCGAGATGAGAGAAAACAAAGAGATTCCTACCTTTCAAAGTGAAATAATCAAACTGACTACGTCAAGATTTGAACTCGGTTCACCAAATCTATTTTTATGTTGTATCCGTTAGTCAACTCTTTCTCCACATTACATGTAATGCATATTAGTAAAACATTCTGAGTGAACAATCGATAACAGATACCCTGCATTCTCATACAGTCGAATGAGACGTAAGGACGATTAATACAGCCAAGAATATCTCAAGAAATTATCGGCTATAAAGCTAAGGAAAATATCTAAAATAAACGAACGTTGTTACTAACAAAACGAAGACATTTGAACGTTAGCAAAAGACACCGGAAGACCTAAGGGAGCAGGAAGTGCACTGCGTGATTAACGAAGTCGCCCTTTTATCATAGGTTCACACAATTGTCACGGAAGTAAAAAGATCAGCAGAATCTTTTCACGAATTTAACATTTAAAGAATTCTATCGTCATAATAAAAATATCAACTTTGACCGTTACATAATCATTAACAATTTTGATATAAACTTTCTTTAATGGGCATGAAATTCCATCTTTCTCTCTACAAACGATAGAAGAGTGTCTGCTTAAAAATCTACTGATATTTGTGAAGTTTGTTATTTTAATCCAGACATTGACTCCCCCCCCCCAGCTACGTGTTTAAATAGTATGGCAAACTGTACTCTGTAGATGTGGTTGGCAACTACTACAGGAGAAGAACATTTCTGAATTCAAAGCCGCGTGTGACCCTGTCGGGGCAAATACTTGAAATATAACTAAGGTCCGCTTAGCATAGTTGCATTATGATCCACAGGTTTGATCAGTGGATGGTGAAGAAACACAAGTGGGACTAAGCGGATGGGCAAGCTTGAGAAAGAGAAGCCATGTTGAAGATTGGAAATTACAATGATTTGCATTGTGCCTTCAAATCGAAAACAGCCTTTAGAATCGAGAAGATATAGAAGAAAGTAGTAAGTTGTTTTATCTAGGAACGCTCAAAAAGTTTCTACTTGATATATATATATATATATATATATATATATATATATATATATATATATATATATATATATATATATATATATATATATATATATATATATATATATATATGTATATATATATATATATATATATATATATATATATATATATATATATAGATATATATATATATATATATATATATATATATATATATATATATATATATATATATATATATAGATATATATATATATAGATATATATATATATATATATATATATATATATATATATATATATATATATATATATATATATATATATATATATATATATATATATATATATATATATATATATATATAGATATATATATATATATATATATAGATATATATAGATATATATATAGATATATAGATAGATAGATATTTATATATAGATATATATATATATATAGATATATATATATATATATATATATATATATATATATATATATATATATATATAGATATATAGATAGATAGATAGATAGATAGATAGATAGATAGATAGATATAGTTAACTTAGAGAGCCAGACAAAACTACCAAGGTTTCACCTAAGCGGATCGTTAGGGGAAGGCTGACGATCCGCTTGGTAGGTTTGTCTGGCTCTCGAGGTTTAACTAGGTCTGCTCTACTCACTGTATTTAGCACTTTATTTAGTTATTTTGCTTACTCGTATCGGGGTTTTTTTCTTTGGGCTTTGGACTTGCATGCTAGACGATTATTTTGGCTAACGTACATGTTCTTAGTTCTTTCTTTTTTATACCTTTTTAACCTTTGCTATTGGTTTGATTACTTGCAAATGAAGACAGCGAAGTTTTTATACTTATAAGATTTCTATTATATATATATATATATATATATATATATATATATATATATATATATATATATATATATATTGAGATTTAGATATAGATAATTTAGTCTTCGATTTATACCTTTTCGAATAGCATCAGGGCGAAGTGGGGTAAAGCGAAATTTTGAAAAGTAGTAGATGCGTTGACGTATTTACGTTGTAAAGTAATTTAATTTTAAGCAATAATAAATTTATTTGGGCGCCACTCCGGGTAGTAACAAGAAATTAGTTGATCCATATGACCGTGGCCTTGTTCTAGACTAACTAAACCTGATTGTCACATAGCTAATAATTTGCTATTTCTCACTGACTCCAGTTTTCGACTTTGAACAAAGATAGTTTATTTTTGCAACGTTCTTATGCTGGGTTATGAACATATTTTCTGGCCTTAAATAACCTGCAACAGCTTGATAATCAATCATAAATCAATCAATCTATTAAACAACAGAAGTAATTGCTGTAAGATATTTGCCGTGCCCAAAATTGATTTTTGCTACGTTCTTATGCTGGATTCGATTCCGATATCATAAAATATTTTCAGGAAATTTTTGGAATTGATGCAAGGTTTCAATGTTTCAATGCTTTAATGAAAATTTGATGAATAACTGTGCAAAAAAGCAAAGTCGCTTCTCCTAATGCACAATACTCTTATGACAATCATTACTGCCTCCGTCATTCTATGGAGTCACATCAGTTGTTCGTATTTGAACACTTTTTCTCATAATTTCACCCCAAGCAAGGCGATAAAGCTACCTAAACGAAAGGTTTTACCGAAAGCAAAGTTTGGTAAATAACTGTAAAATTCAAGACTTCAAATTCTGGTTTTCAAAACAGGTTTACCCTCCCTACTTGTGATACTGGCGCATCAAGATTCCCTTACTTTAGTTTGTCTCTATTTAGTCTCGTTCTTTACTTTTCTCAGCTGAGTACACACCTGTGAATAATTCATGAAACACAACATGTTTTTGTTTTTCTTTGTTATTTAATATTAAGTAGAGACGTTTAGGGGCTAAAGGTTTAGGTAGGCCTAGAAAATGGATTAATTTCGCTTTATTTCTTTTGGGATAGGCATGACTCCAGTTGTATCTTTTAGATCAGTCGAGACCAAATTTTGGCGGAGATCAGAGTGTGCATTTGGTGAAACCGTTCTCATTGAATTACCTTAACTACTTAAACTGTTGCAATAAACATCTATTCTCCACACAGACAAACTTGGCAAAGTCTTATCATTTCTAGGTCTAGTGTAAATTAATCAATGTTATATATTTGTAACATTGCCACCAAAGCCAAACTAGTAACATTTCAGTATCACCGAGCAGACCCTGAATGTGGTCCAGTCAGGATTTACCGTTGTAATCTCAATTAGGGTCCTTGCCTTGAACGTATATTGGGACTCAGACTCACTCCAGACTCCAAGTAGAACATATACGATCTCTTCTTAAAGATGGAAAATAGTTCCTTGTCGCACTCCAGAAAGAACCTGGCTCCACCTAACACGTTCTGTCTTTACAAGAGTCAGATATAACGAAATAATGGAGCACTGCTGCCAAAATCTTCACTTTACCTTCAAGAGTTCAAAAATGTCTACACATCCTTGTGGGTGATGAATTATTTTCTACTCTACAACCCCTTTTCCCGCAGACAAAACATTGCTGACCTCTCGCTACTCAATCGCAATTTGCATGATAGATTTTCACTACATTCCTTTGATCCACCATTCCAAACTTTCAGGGCTAGGACCCGCCATGCCACGTACATAAGGTTGAGTCATCCCTACACTACAATCATAACCTCTTCATGTCTATAACCAGGCGTTATCTATCCTACATATCCTTATAATATGCGCTACTTAGTTTCTACTCTTGCACACTTAGTCATTCAGTAAAACTTTAGCTTGAGTGGCTCTAGGGAGACCCCGTGTCTTAAACGCCTATTGGGACTCGGCCTCATTCTAGACTTCAAGTAGTATTGGGTTAACAATAGTATACAAAAAAGATTATTCAATTTCGAACTGTTATATCTCTAAACAGATTTTTCAAATAAAGGCGTTTGCATTCCACAAATAAATGAAAGCAATTATTATTATCATGGTAAAATTTGCGTCATCTTTTTTTTCCTTTTTCTTATGTATTCGATGAGTTCCTCTTTGTAACACTTTGTCGGTGTGCAAGAAAGAAATTCTTTATTTTTTTCACCCATTTTTTTGAGCGATTTGTTTTACATAGTGTCCACATGAATTATCACTGCTAATCAAATACTTTGAGATAAGGAAATTATGAGTAGAACATTTCTACGTCTTGATAACAAAAAAATATATATAATTATATGATAAGTGCCTGGCCAAAAATAATCAACACGGAACGAACTTATGGCAGAGCCGAGTAAGGCCCAAAAATATTACGCCTTATCGGACGAACGTTTGCCGCTGATATGAATTGAAACGATTATATCAAGTCATTTGCTGGGTTTTCTACTATGAACCTTGGTTCATTGTGTCATGCTATACAAGTTCTTTCACCAGAATCTGTCTTGCACCTTTATAAGTCTACCATTCTTACATGCATTGTCTATTGCTACAACATCTGGTTTAGTGCTTCTACTATGTTTCTAGGGATTACTGACAAAATCCAAAGAACCAACAATGTTATCGATCCTGACTTGGTATCTCAGTTTCAATCACTTTCTCACCGCCGCTGTAACGTAGCATCTCAGTGCCTTTTCCTCTGGTCGGTAGATTTTGAAGAGCGGGAAACCATCTCTTAATTGATGTTGTTCCCAGGTCCACTCTGACCCGGGATGGTAGCACTTGTTAGGGTCCCAGCTATGGATAAATAGTTAAACCTTCAAACGCGGATCACAACACTATGAAAGAGACGAAATATATTGTTATAGTGAAGATGCCATTTTTATAGTAAAAAAATAAATTTCGAGCAATATATTTTTGTAAGGAAAAAATAAATTAACATCAATGCATTTTTGTAAGAAAAAAATTACCAGGAATACATTTTTGTAAGGAAAAAATTACCAGCAATACATTTTTGTAAAGAAAAAATACCAGTAATACATTTTCGTAAGGAAAAAAATTACCAGCAGTACATTTTTGTAAGAAAAATAATACCAGCAATAACTTTTTGTAAGGATAAGATAAATTACCAGTAATATATTTTTGTAATGAAAAAATTACCAGCAATACATTTCAGTAAGGAAAAATAAATTACCAGCAATATACTTTTGTATGGAAAAATTACCAGCAATACATTTTGTAAGGAAAAAATTCCCAGCAATACATTTTAGCAAGGAAAAATAAATTACCAGCAATACATTTTTTGTAAAAGAAATTACTAATGCTGCCAAGAAAATGAAATCTTGGCATTAAATGACCCATAAGTATTTGATATGTCATTAAACTAGCAAAGCAAAACAAAACAAACATCTGTGGATTTTCTACAAATATTTTCATGGCAATTGTTCCGATGGACTTTCATCTTTGGTAACTCTACTTCACGAATTTAACTGTAGTACTAGATTGACAAATGGGTTGCATGATTTTATTGTTGAAATTGTTAAATATAACTGTAGATTCTATTCTAATAGTTTCGTCTTTCGTGCTTCTCGCTTGTGTAATTCACTCTTGGCTTCTCACTTTTCTCTCAGCTATTGTCTTCCAAAATTGGTATGCAACGTCAATCGGCATTTTCTGTCTATTTGAATTTTGTTCTTTTTATTGTTCTTTCTTTACAATGTCCTTCACTTTCACTTTTGCGTCTTAGTGACTTTATTGTCTTGCCTAAAGGCTAGAAAGATAAATTATTTTTATTTTATTTTTTTCTGCATAACACACGAAAAAATTACCTTTACAAACAAAGAGAAAAACACGGCAAGGATAGAGAAAAGAAACTTTTTCCTGACAGAAAGAAAGAAAGAAAGAAAGAAAGAAAGAAAGAAAGAAAGAAAGAAAGAAGTATGCTCAAAGCGGGAAAAGAAAGAAAAAGATGAAGAGATATTCTTAAAATAATTTAAAATATACTATAAAGAATGTTTTCTTATTGTTTTCAAAATCCCCCGAAGGAAAAAACTGAGAGAAAAAGGTTCTTATACCGAGTGTTAAAAAAGCAAAGAGCTACAGTTGTTTATTATTTACTGAGGATATGTTAGTTTTGCACAAGGCCATGAGTGTGGAGCACCCGGAGAAGATCAAATTCTTAATAACCTGCAAGTTCAGCTTTCTAAGTATTACACCACGATAAAACATCCACGAAAGTAAAAATAGTTAACACAAAGAGAAATTCAGAAAAGTTCTATCTTAAATGGTTCAAGTTGACCCCGAGAGATAACAAGTCAAACGACCCACCCCGTTCGTTCATGTCGAGATCTGTGCATCCCCAATATTTTATATAAAATGCTTTGGATACCACTTTCTCCCAAGGTCACTACCTCGAATTACGTTCAGTTTTCGAAACACTAGCTATGGAATCAGATTTAAAAGAAATTATCAGTTGTTATCTCAATATTCCATTCACGCATTATATATGCAAACCAACGTATAAGGATTTATTAAAGAAAATATTCTTGAAAAGTTAGAATACAAATTTCATGTAAAATATCTTTATTACAGTAGAACATTTTAAACACCTCTTTCTGTATTCGGCTAAAAGGGTATTACCATTCTAAAAATGGGCGCCAAAAATTAATGACTAAAAGCCTTTGTATTCACAATTTCTTTTTGGTCAAAATTCGTGCAAAAAGAAAACCAAGCTAAATCGAAATCTGATAATCTTAGGAAATTAATTTAATTTTATAACGCTCAACATGATTTGTTGATAAATCCTTCATATGCCTAAAAATTATTTTATGGATAAATCCACGCGCAAGACTGTAGAGCCTCCCCCTCTCCCTATATAAGTCGCTGGAAACTTTTAGCACAGGATAAGCCTAACAATTGAAAATCACAGAGTTGAATTCCAATTTCCGTTGGGTTCGTTATATTCCCTTGCGCGCAATTACCATTGGGAAATTTATGAATCCACTGTTTCTCCCCAAAGATATGGATTAATTAGTAGGACTTGTATCAGTAAATCATTATTACATCTAAAAAATTCTTACAATCTAAGAATATTTTCTGGCATTAAATAACTTGCGAATGTAAGATAAGCCATAAAAATCAATCAACGAATCAATCTATTCCGACACGAAAATATTTTTAATTTATCTCTTGTCATATGAACAGTTTATATGTTGTTGAAAATATATTTTCTGCTAAAGCAGAAAATATATTTTCAACAACATATAAACTGTTCATATGACAAGAGATAAATTAAAAATATTGCCAATATTACATTTGTTTGCCATTTCTAAAGCTATATTGATTTTTTTAGAAATCTTTTCATTGAATTTTGAATCTATGTTCCAGTGTGTTCTGGCTCATTTAAGATCTTTTAAACTTGAAGAAATTAAAGTAGACTTTACAAAATAAAAGTGAACGAAGTCATCTTTTTCTCAAAAGACGAATTAATCAAAAATACTTATCACGTATATTTAGTCCCTTTTTAAGTTTCCTCTGCGTTCAGTTCGGGTAAACTGGAAACCCTGAAATTTGAATAATCCAAGAATCTGAAAACGCAATAGATCAACGTATGTTCCGTTATTTCCGAAGCAGATATTTTTTTTTAATTTAATATGGTGATTGGAAAATCGAACAATGAACAATAGAGATTCTTTATAAAGTCAGCTTTGAAGTAAATGAAACACACACGCACCAACATAAATTTGCATTATACGTTATCGCTTGTCAACGTTTACAATAGTTTAAGAAGAACTTAAAGCGACTACTGTCCAAGTGACAGTTATTAGTTTTCTAAGGACTAAGTGCTGGACAATCTCCTCACAGATAAAGAGAATACACGAAGCAGCAGAAATATGGTTCTACAGGAGGATGATAAGGATACTATGGTACGAGCATGTGAGGAACGATGATGTTTTACAGAAAATGGAAACAAAAATGAAACTTATACTTAACATCAGTAAACAACTCCTAAGGCACATAATGAGGAAAGAGGTCATGTAAGTTTTGACATACATAGGACGTATGGAAACAAGAGTGACAGACAAAAACAATGCATAACCTATATAATGAGTTTGAGTAAATGAATGGCGGAACAAGGTTTAGAATTAACAAAAAGAGAAAATTTATCAAGTGCTACAAAGGACAGGAGATTGTAGAGATCCTTGATCGACGACGTCCTGAAGGTACACGGTACGTAGAAGACGTGCTCACTCAGCCACTCTCTTTTTGTCAACATTCATGACATGTTAGAGGTTTTGTTTTTTTGTGTTTTTTTTGTTTTTGGTTTTTTTTGGAGGGGGGGTCAAGATAACTGATAATAGGAATGGGGTCAAAGATGTCTATTTATCCATGCGCCAAAAGTTTGATTCGAACGCCATAACCGATTAATTTTTCTGTGCTGGATACTTAACAGTTATAGGTGCGAGAAGTGGAATCAGCGAGCTCAAAATTTTACCGCGTCAGTTGCGTTTGCTTTCACACTAATGTCCTTTGAAAAAAACTGGAGCCATCTCTTCTCCAGGTATGGGTTAAGTATGACGTTCTCTAGACCTGGGCGGTATCATGGAGAAAGCAATCGCAAACCATGTCGACTGTCATTTGCATGGTCCTTTACAGATAATAAAGAAAATTGTGGTGAGTTATAATCGCATACGTGCGGAAGGGAAGTGACATAAAAATGACAGCATCACTAGTTCACTCTCTCTCTTTCTCTCCATAGATAGATAGATAGATAGATAGATAGATAGATAGATCTGTAGAGATATTTCCCACATGCACCTCCCAAGAATACCTTCGACATAATTGTAAGACATTAATTGCAATGTTGACTTCAACTAGCTGTCTAACCATTATGTAGAATGAATTTCTAGTATATTTGGATACCAAACTTTCTTTTAAAATGTTTCATTGAATGTGGCAGACAATGTTCTTGCAAGGGAGTGCAAAACCTGTCCGTACTAATTACTTCCCAAATGCTTTCGACCAACTGATAAGCCATTTTTAAGGAGTCCATTGTTAATCTTTTCCAATGTTTGTATTCGAAGGTGTATTGTATAGGAGTACTACTAATCCTAGGCTACATGAAAGGATGCGGCTATGATTTATGTCAGAGTGTCTTCAAAGAGCAACACAATCGAACCATCGTTAAATAAAATAAGATTGATGCTTTGTTTGTATTAATGGCAATAAATAATAGAACATCGATAATTTTTAGTCACCGTCGGTAGATATATTTCTTTAGAATAATGGTGCTATTAACCAGAAATTTTCCGAAAAGAAAACTAAGAATATTAGAAAATATTAATAGCAAAATCTTATGTTTTTCTCATTCACATTTGTCTCTTTGTTCACATTCGCAGGGGTCGATTCTTCAATCACTTTCCTGTTGGTTAATTTACTTACCTTTGTCATTACCGTTTTAATTTTAATCAGATCTTTTTGTGACATTATCAAAGCCAATCTTCCTTTCTTATTCGTATCTCTTCGTATTTCTTGCCAATGCTCTCAATTTAATTTTTGGTTTGTAATCTCTGTTTCCAATTTTCGCAATTTTCACATAAGGTTAAGACATTAGTGGCTGTGGTGTCTTCATCGAGATATTGTCTTATCATTATCTGAGAGGTATACCTACGAGGTATATGTGGGAGGTATTTCTCTCATACCCTGTTCCTGGTGGTTGGGCTCGATGTTTGGTCCGTCATGAAACTTATCAACTAATACAATTTTTAAAGAAAACGAAGGTGTTTGAGTAATGCCATTGCTTTCATTGGTGTCACCTGTCAAGGTTTACAATAAGGTAAGAATATTCTAAATATAATACTGCTTGGGCGACAGATTTGCTGACGTGCTCAATCTCTCATCTTTTTTTCTGTTTCTGTGCAGGGAGCGTAACGCTTATCGGTGCAGAGAGTGAAATCAGCGAGCAGGGTTCAAAATTGTCTGTTGCGTTCATTTTTCGTAACTTTCTTAAACGGTGTAAAGGTCTCTCCAGTTATTACGATGGTGTCAAGATAAATTTAAAGGATCCTTGTCAGTCTTTTTGAAAAACATTTTTGAGTTCGAACCATGGCGTCAGTCAGTGATGTGCCATGCGTGTATCGAAAGATACATGACCGCCTACGATCATGTATCTTTCGATACACGACTGACAAGGCAGATTTATTTTGTATTACCATTCCTTTCTGCAGTAGACCAGTTGCCATCCAAGGCCTTGGTCTTTCCTGCTGTTTACCCATAGCTGGTGGGGAGAAGAAGAGAATTCATACCTAAGGTATTAGCACGCGTGTGAATGTAATAGATTCGACTGGAATTCGAACTCGGCTCTCTGATTCCTCAATCCATTACTCCACTGCGTCTCCTCCATCGTGTAAAAGAGTATATTTATGCATTTTTAGTGGTATTACCGGTTGGGTTACGGTGAAACGACAAAAAAGACAACTTTTTTTAAAATACTTTCAATGAAATGTTTTCAACACTTTCACGGATTTCCAGCTATTTTATTTGTGGTATAATTCTCCGGATCTTTTAATTTTGGATAAAATAGCTACCTTCAGATTCCACACATTTTAATTCTCTGCAAAAAAATCAGATATTTTACCAGATTTTCAAAGTATGGAACAACGGCATTTAATATCATACAGATCTTAATTTTGTTTCACAAGAACGACAGCTGCCCTACAGTCCATTATTGTATGATTTGTTTGAATGACAAGGTTATTTTAAAATGTTATTATTTCTGTTCTTTCACGCAGCTTCTGTTTTGTGATTCTACTGTTGGTCGGTAGGGCCATGTGTCCGTCTTTTACACAATTCCCGGCGTATCACGGTTTGATCATGTCAACTTTCGTGCTCATTTTCACTTGACTTCAGGCATTCAGATTTTACTCGGTTTCAACCCCCGGTGACATTTGCTATTTTTCTCATATTTTGTCCACCTTAGTTTTTATATAATTCTCGTACAGCTGCTCATAAGTGGGATTCCATTCTCATTCTCTCTTTCTTTCTCTATCTTTCTCTTTCTCTCTCTCTCTTTCTCTCTATCTCTTTCTATTTCTCTATCTTTCCCTTTTTCTCTCTTTCTCTCTCTCTCTTTCTCTTCGTGTGTGTTTGTCGTATTTACACGCACATTATTATTATTATACTAAATTATACCTCATCATTATTATTATACTAAAACAACAAAAATAAAAACATGCAATTTTCCATACCAAGATGACGTAATTCTGAATACTCCTTATTTGTACCGAAAAATATTATGAAAAGTATTTGGGGAAAGGAAAACGTTGTTATTTGTTTATATTGTAGTAATTACTAAAGAATATTTACAATCTCTTTTATGAACTACTCCCTCCTCCTCCTCCTCCTCCTTAGGCGAAATATCGGGCCACAGCTACACTACACTAAATTTTGCTGCTATGGTTTCTGTAGCAAGTAGGCATCATGTCTTCTATCATTTTCTCATCGCCGTAACATAGCTTCTCTTTGCCTTTTCTATGAACATCTTCATAGTAATTTTTCAGGTGATCTTTCCGTTTTGAGCGCAATACTAGGTTAGTAGCTAGGTCTCATCACTTTACTGTTCAAATTGCTAGATGGAAACAAAAAGTACATGCTAATAGTTTCTTTTATAGCTTGTGAAACACTCTTCCGGCTTCTTGCTTTCTGCTAAACTTTGATTTTAAAAAATTTAAACGCAATGTCAATCGTTATCTTGTCTTCTGAATTCCTGTTTTTTTTTGTTTGTTTGTTTTTTTGTTTTTTTTTCTCGCTCCTTGATAACAATTTTTTAAATTTTTTTCTTTTATTCTTTGTCACTCAGTAAACTTAGTGGCATTATTCACTTGCAGAAGGTTTTTACTAGATAAACTTAGAGTTTAGAATTCAGAGGTGTTTTTCTTCAAGATTAGTCACCAACCAAGTTTATAGAATCAATAGATGGGTTCATAATTTTCCTAAGAGTATTCATATGAAAGTGAATGCAACAAACTCGACCAGAACTTGAACTCGGTATGCCGAATACACTTTCCGCGCCGATAACCGTATACATCCGAAGAAATAATAATAATAATAATAATAATAATAATAATAATAATAATAATGATAATAATTTATCAACAAAAAATAATAATGTTGAGATTATTACATGATTAAGAAATGGTAAAGCTATCTCTGTCGGTTTTGAATTCAAAGTTTTCTTTCTCCTAGAAGGGTTGCCAACGGCGGCTAGAGAGACAAATCAGCCTTTCTATTTAACCCATAGCTGGGTGGATTCATACCTTTCCAAGGGTATATGCGCTTGAAAGAGTATTCGAAATTGGCTATCCGATTTCTCAACCCAACACGCCATGCGCCATCCAAATTACCAAATAAAACTAAATAATAATTGCATTAAGATGAAATGAACTGATCATTATTGGGGGTTTTTTTTGGGGGGGTAATAAAATCATTATTATTATTTCTTGAGATATGCGCGTTTATCGGTGTGGTTTGGCAACCGGTCTAGGAGAAGGAAAACTCAGATTTCAAAACCGATAGAGATATCTGAAGCATTAGATTTCAACCAAAATGCTTAACTGAAAGCAATCCATTGAATAGGAGTTTTACAATGTAACAAGGAAGGAAGGAAGGAAGGAAGGAAGGAAGGAAGGAAGGAAGGATGGAAGAACGTTAATTATGTAAAAGTCAAAGTGATTAAGTCTAAACAGCACTTTATAACCTTAAGAACTGTTATTTGTATAATTTCTGATTTACAAGAGATTTCTGTTTATTTCAGTGTTCTCCAGAGGTTTTAGAAAGTTCCCAGTTCTCCGATTAGCACTATACACTAAAAATATAATTAGTGTTAGTAATAGTACTCGTTGTGGAAGAAGAAGAAGAAGAAGAAGAAGAAGAAGAAGAAGAAGAAGAAATTAAAAAAAAATAAAACAATAGAGAATATAAGGGCAATATAAATGAGGAAAAACCCATTAAACTGAAAACGCAGAAATAACAAGAAGGCGGACATCCCACAGAGAAAGTCTTAGAAATTAACCTACGACTGCTGAGCAGTGATGTTGCCATGATTTGAAGACCTGAAAACTCAACCTTAAAGGAAACGTAACTAGAATTTCAAGAATTCCCGAGTCGATCCAATAAATAAAGATTGACAAGGTTCGGAAAATCACTCTTCAAATGCGCAATGCCATTGAGAGGAGGTGGGAATAGAGAAATCTCTGTGGAGTTTTGTGTCAAATTTACTTTTAGCTGTCAGAGAAAATTGTAAGGCATTGGCCGGGGTTGGGATGGAAGTAAACCAATGTATACTTCAGGAAATGAAAAGGAAAAAGCAGGCGCTTTTTTGTAAAAAATATTCTTATTTTTAATTCTCTGAAGACGAAGTCCTACATATTCTAAATCTGAGAATTCTTACTAACGCCGTATGAATTGTGGCAGTGGTTATTTTTGGGACGATGTCCTAATTATAAACACCATAAGGATATACTTATAAGGCACCTTGTGAGAATCAATATCAGAAATAATTGTCAAGATGTACTTGTGAAGTATTTTTTATACTAAGGTTTAAAGACTCGAGAGACACTCAAGTTAGATGGTTACCGTTAAAAGCCTTTGGATGAATGAAAGAAGAATTAGTAGTATGTGAAAGTAATGAGGATACGGAAGATAGATAACGACTGAGATTTAACGAGCAGGGATTAAGATTGATAAAGATACGAGAAAGCATCAACGTGGCAGTTCGTCACACAAAGTAGAAGTTATTGCAAAAAAGCTGCCTCAG